CCCCGCCGCCCTTCCTGCCCTCCGGCTGGTACCCACAGCCCCGCGGAGCCGCCAACGCCAAGGTGGAGAGGGCGGGATGGCAAGGGACGCTCTCGGGCTGTTGGAGAGGACGCGAATTTAAATGCTGAACCCGAAACTGCGCCTCAGCATTCACCTTTGCCTGGCGCTGGCTGCCTCGGTTAGGGCTTTCCCTTCCTTCCGTCAGGACTTAGTCTTACAAAAGCTGCTCTGTCGGCATTTACAAGGCCACGACTACGGGCTTCCCCTGCACCACGGGCCGTCCTTCAGCCTGCCGGTGCCCCGGGAGGCCGCGGCTCCCCCAGGCCGGTGGAGGTTGCCCGGTCTGCCTCCAGCGCAAGCGAGCGTTGCCGAAACCTTTCCGCAGCTAAAACCTCTTAGGAATTCACTCGACGGACACATCTCTGCTCAGCCAGCCGCCGGGGCTCAGACAAGCAGTTCTTGAACACGTCCCTCAACTTGCACTGAAAACTCCCTCGCTGGCACCGTGGGGTGGTACGGGAGAACCGGTCCCGGACTTCCCCGGGGAACAGGGAGACTTGCCTTCCAGCCCCGGCTCTCCGGGGGCTCCTTTTTCGTTCCTCAGTTGCCAAACGTGCGCTGATTGGGTTCAGCACACGAGTCTGGGGATCAGCTCTCCCGCAGCCCAAGGAGGTCTCCCAGGTCTGCCTGCCCAACCGATGTCTACTCAGCTAGGACTTCTGACTGGACCATGGGGCCCTCAGCCATGTTACTGTGGGTCAATGACAGAGAGGACTTAATGGTAGGTAGGTCTCCTAACTGCCTGAGACGTCCCAGTCATCCTAAATTAGCAGATCACGAGTGCTGTGCTCTTCTTCTCTGCTCGAATGTAATTAACGACACACAATTACGTGGGTTTTTTTACTTTCTCGTTGACGCACGCCAAGTTCAAGCCTCCGTGCACGGAAGCCAATGGAAGGAGTTGGAAGAGAAGTGCTGGAACCCCCATTACCGTCTTTTGACAACTCCCAATCCAGCTTGCTGCAGAGTGCAGTTAAAGAGATTGCGTAGTAAGTTTGGAGAGACCACCCTGGCTGCTAACACTGTTACCAAAGAAGAGGTGCATTAGATGTACTTAAAAAAACCAAACAAATAAACAGATACAGAGAGTTTGCTCTTTGCGCTGTCAAGACTTTCTCCCACCACAAGACAACTCCTCTGTTGTAACCACAAAGAGATCCAGTGATTATTTTCTTGTATCAACCCACTGTTTAAGTCTAAAGCCATAACAAGCTGCTGCAGCTGTTTCTTCTTATTCTTTCCCAGATAAATGTCTGAGAATTAACTTTCCTGCCTTACCTGCCACAGTATATTTCAAATCTGAGGAACACCGGAGTCACAGAAGAGCCAGATTTCCAGTGTGATTTAGGTAAGAAAAAGTTCTACCAGAGACAGAGTGATGTTTTTCCAGGTACACTTTGCTCCCTTCATGTCAAATTATTTTCTGGTTTTACAGCTACAATTCAGCATGAACATTCATGGTGTTTCTTTCCAGTTTGTTCATTTTCTCCCTTTGCCATTTCTGTATAAGGACTTCACAAGCATGTTTGTCTGCTGGTACGGCGAAGCGTGGTTATTGGTACTACTGACAGACTAGCAGAAATGTTGCTCGTCTGGGTAAAACAGTTACGGCGCAAAGCCATGCACAGGCCTTATCTGGTCAGGTCCCGCTGATTCCAGCTGTAGCCTGGGAGCAAATCAAAGGCGAGACACAGCCATGGGAGAGTAAAAATAGGTTGAAATTCAGAACTTCTTCACAGGGAAAGCATTCCAAACCCAAACAAATATTTTGCAAATTTCCAATTAAATACTTTTTTTCCTTGCTTCAAATGCATGGTGTTAGTGTATTGTAGGACTACAGCACATTCAGCAGTTATGTCAAATATGTTATATTACAGTGTAGCAAAAGAATTTTTATTGTATTTTCTACATTACTAAAGGTAGAGCTGCTTCTTAATACTGGAATAGTAGAACACATCAGTGCCTCTCCAGTATGCTGTAAGAAAGATTTTAACATTGAAAAAGAAAACAGGACAAACATTTTTAATTTCATCTCTCCTTCCAAATTTGCTGAGCAAAGTAGTTTAGCTTCCAAAAATGTCGTCTTAATCAAAGTCCAATTTTAAATTACAAAGTTTTTTGATGAATATTTTCATTAACAACCCTAAAACAATAAAAAAAGTTTAAAATTTGATCTTCTACCCCCTTTAAAATTGTCTTCTCTTTAGATTTTTTCATCCAGAGCCATAAATCCAAATATTTAAAAAATATATGTTGGGTTTTTTTAATCACAAAATTCTCAGAGGCAAGTTGAAAAAAAGAGGCTTAAGTGAGTTTAATATTCCATTCTCCCAGCTACCACCAAGAAGCAGACATCCACTTTTCTTGGTAATAATTACTTTAAAAATATATCTAAAATACATATCAGAAGGACTCCATTCTAGCATGTGTGCACACGTAAGTGTTAGAGCATAATAGTAAGACTTAGCCTTACATTATTTAGACTTAAGTCTTTTTAAAGACTTAGATACTGAGATCCCGCCATAATTCCATTTCACACCTACAGATATGTGAGGAAATACTTCAAAACTATTCCATTCTAGATCACAAGATAGGTGTCCAATTTGGAAGGGTCTCCGTTAGCTCAGCCACTCTCACTCTAGGAAAAGAGAAAGGAAAACCAGGGTGTAGGATGAGAACCCCAGGAGATCTGGCTCACAGTTTTCCCTCGCTAGCAGCCATGTGAGAAGAGCAGCTTTGCAGCCAGCACGAGTGAGTGGAGTGGGAGCCAAGCAGGGTGAAGGCTGGCTTTGTTGGAGCTGAAGTGTGAATATTTATGCATCAAATGACAGCGTGAATGATTGCACTCAGGGGGAATTGCAGACTTAAAACACAAGGGTTTAGAGCAGGCCAAAGAGTGGGACTGAACATACATGTATGCAGCTGGGATGTAGCCAAACTATTACAGAACATAGAAAGTAAGAGAGAGATTAGATCCAGAGAGAGCGAGACTCACTTTGCTGTTTCACCAGTGGAAGACTTTGATAGGGGTTTGGTTTAGCTAGACGCAAGTTGCTTGGCTGCAGGATTCTTTGTGTGAAACCCCATGGCCTGTGCTGTACAGGGAATAATTCATTCAGGTCTTAAATATTTTATTTAATGTACAATAAATTAAAATCTTAAAGCCAGAAATACTCAGAATGTATGATAGTAAGTCACACTCTAGATGGCTTACACAGCATAACCCCCATTGAGAAATACTAAAAATCCATTAAACATTTTTAAATGGGTGTGTGTAAGGCAGAAGGAAGTGTACAGGTGGAAAGGCTTCCTCAGATAACGCCGTGCTATAAAAATCAGGAGGTGACTTCCTAATGCGCTGCATTGAGTCAGTAATCCAGCAGCTGCCACTTTAAACATGTTTACCAGAAGTATTGACATTCATCTCTGGGAATTGCCTAAACAAGAAGCAACATTTTAAATGTATGCTTTTCTGCCTTCCTCGACATGAATATCATCGATGACGACAGCTAAAACATGCTTGGTTAATGCTAATTTCAGTAATGGATTAATAATGACAGCTACACGTCAGAGCTTTATTTGTTGTTTTTCTTATTCTGATGGCAAATCACTCACTAGCTTTAACAGAAGCAAGTGGCACCTCAGAGTTATAATACCACTCATTTACTACCTTAGTTTTGGAAATCCATTTCTTTTATAATGAAGATAAACATCTTGTTGTTCAAAGGGAGAATGCTTGCAGGAGTTAAATTCATTTGAATTATCTTTATCAAAGGGCAATAAAATACATGCAATAACAAAATACACAAAACACTGAATGCAAAAAGATAGATCCTGATTTCCTTACTCAGGAAAAATTCCTTTCTTATTTCAGAGAGTGTCTGAAGCATAAGATGCTGAGGTGACATTCATACAGAGAAACTCCATTAGGAAAGGTTTTATTCCAGGGGCAATTTACAATCTGGGCTTTCCTTTACTTATCTGTACGTTTGGAATTTTCCTATATCAGAAGTCTTGAGCATTCATTTAATTACTCAAACTAGTGCAAAGCAGCCAAACTCAAGTCCCACTTGAAGCAGAATTTGAAGTAAAATTAATGTGTAATGCTCCCAGTCCAAAAATTAATCAGCACAGATATCATTAATCTTCTTGTGTGCCTTCTTTCCTAACTATTCCACATTATTCACCAGAACAGGGAAAAAAGTCCAAATGATGGAAATTATTTTTTAGGACTACAGATCTTCTCAAAAATCGTGTGCTAATAGCTCCTTTCTCCTTGAAGTAAGAGACTATAAGCATGTCTCTGCATAATTGCTAAGAGTATCTTATATGGAAAGAAGCAGGTACTTGGGTATTCAGGTCACAAACTAGGTTAAGACACTGGTTCAAAACAACTCCTTTCTTGAGGAAGTTTAAGAACTAGGTAACCAATTTAGCCTACCATGTGCTGATGTTTTTACATGCCTTTAATACAGAGCGTTGCTTCTAAATAAATAGGCAGTCCCCCTTATTTTTCTGAATGCTCTTTAAAGGCAGTGTTAAATTCAACATACTTAATTTTGTCTTGTTTGGAGATTACAAAACCACAGATAACATATCTAAAGAGACACCAGTACCTTTCTTTGTAAGCTTTGAGGAAAAAAAAAAATCCAATAATGGCCAAATCTTCATATCCTGTAATCTCTGGCTTTTAGAATTCAACTTACTTCTGCTGTTACTTCAGATTCCTCTTCAACCTACATCAGAGAGATCAGAGAGGACAGATGAGATCTTCATGTCAGAACCAGACCAAAGCTCCTGTTGCTTCTGTCTTCATTAATGCTTCCCAGGACCATACAACATTTTTACAAAATTTATAAGCAGTGTTATCAAAAGCTGCAGATGAAAAAAAAAGGTCTTCACCTATTGTGAGGATCTCGACTGACGCAGTGAAAGCCCTTTTTTTTCCCCAGTGCCAAACCTGGGGCCAGACTAATCTGAATAGACATAATCTGACCATTTGGGGTATTACACATTCCTTTATTACAAAATTGACCAACTTTTTCCACACACAAAAATGGTGACAGTTAACAATTTTTTCCACATAAATTTGTATCAAATACCGATAATTTTCAAGTTCCATAAGAAACAAAATCTTAGTAATAATCAAAGCAATATCTCATACAAATGAAATCAGATAAGACTCAGTCTTTTATTCCAAAACATTTTTCTACAAACTATGTGTAACTGATTATAGCCAACTTTACTGGACATGCAATTAGTGATTACTATGACAGTCTAATATATTAACTCTCCAAGAGAGGAAGATTTTACTGCTCCAAATCTCATTTTGAATTAAAAGTATTAGTCTATTACATGGATCATTTCATAGCTGGCTCTGATTTATGTTGGTTTTGATGCAGCAATTAATTCTGCTCAGAATTAAGAGAACAGAAAGATGTAGTCAGTCTTTTCTGTAGTCTCTGGTTACAGTGTTACTTGATTGAAGCAGTAAGGTTTAAATACATCTTTTTTTAGCAGTGAACTCCTAGAATCCTTCAAGGCCATGTGACTTAAAACAAAACCTCACTGGTTTTTTTTCCTAGCAAAGTAAAATGTATTGTTTACAGTCACAATATACATTTATGATTTAGTGACTGCAAATAAGCAGGTTCACATAGTAATTGATTCCTCTCAGAGCTCTGTTAGTCAGGATAGCTACTTTGCACAGCACACCGAGATAAAAAATCATAAGAAAAACAAGGAAGAGCATTTCAGATCCCCTTATTTTTATCAGTTACACTTGGAATTACAATAACATACTTTCCCATATTAACAGATCACGTATCTGAATCCTTATCCTCAAAAATCAATGGGCACATCTTGAACACTGACTCAACTTTTTGGTTATGTTTTTCCCTTTCTGCCCCAATCTCAGAACTTTTGGATTGTGTGGCTTTTATAGCTGTATCACAGGCAGTTCTATGCCCTGCTTTATACCTGCATATATAAAGAAATAATGTGGCATTAAATTAACTTACACCTTGCACTGTTTTTAATGTGACATTTAAGAAAAATAGGAATTTTTCATTCGTTACTGATTTCACATTTGAACTTTAGAGCAGTAACTCAAATACTGTGTGTGTACACAGTTATTAAAAAGCTTATGTATCTATACATATATTCTGATTATGGTCAGAGCAGTACCAAGGGGAGGTGTTCAAGCACTGATGCCTTAATTTTTTTCCCTTTTGGTGCTTCTAACACACCAAAAAGCTACAACAGTACTGCAGATTCCTCTGAAAGCATCAGAATCTTTACTCACACCTGGTCTCACACCTCCTAGGTCCTAGGAACAGTTTTTGTTGGGGAGAAATACTACCAACAGTAGATGATAATCAATTTAGGAACCACTAAAGCAAATCTGACATGCCCATGTCTTTGCAACTGGATGGGATGCATCCCAGGGTGCTGGAAGTGAATTTGAGGAGGTATAGCTGTTATTAAGTAAACTAGTGGTTGTAATGCTGTCCTCCAAAAGGTAGCATCTCATATTGCTAGATGAGAGCACAATGATTGCATTTTCACCTCAAGTTTGTTAAAGCAGCTGCTTTTAACTTTTCAGATATGGGAGTAAGCCTACACAATGTGCGATACAATACAGGAAGGCAAATATTGAAACAGTGTTTATATCATTGCAGTAAATTAGTTTATTGGAACTGACTTCAACTGACTATCTTCCAGGGTTATACTGAAGTTATTACAGAATTGATGTATATAATCCTATTCAAGTAGCAGTCTTTATTTTAAACCTCAAATTACTTTTTAAATCTCCCATGCAGGTATCTGTTTTAAAAACCTGAAAACACAGCACTATTTCTTCACTTTGTTAATTTGATTCATACTTTGTGTCCATAAAAGTGATTTTTATAATTTTGTAAATCAGTTACGCAATAAAAATGTGCAATGCTAACACAGCAGGCTAAATATGCTATGAAATTTTGAGTTTTTATCTCAACAGTAGTCTGGAAAGGTATTGACAACAAAGATCTAATGATAGGAGAAAAGCAAACACTGCATACTGGATGTCTGTTTCATTTATCTAATAACTGTTATAGTGAACATGTAATACCTGAAAAATAGATATGCAAAGTTTTGAGATTGCTTTTTCCATTTTACCATCCTAAAGTAGTACTTCATTCCTGATACAATTTTGATGGAGCCGTTTACAAGATGCAACTCACTCTGAAGTCACTGAATAGCTCGCTCTCTGTGCATTCTGTTTAAAATGTTATTGACCTATGGTTGGACTTGATGATCTTAAGTGTCTTTTCCAACCTAAATTTTTATTCTAAGTAAGTATTCATGTATTTTATGTAGAAAGTTTCAAACAGTCTGGGTTTCAACATTCTTGAAAGTGTGTTACAGCCTGCAGACCCAGATGTGTCGCGGTAATTTTTTGACCTACTACTGGCTGACAAGTTGCACGTGCCGTTTGGTCTTCTAAAGGTCTAGGAAATAGCACGCACCTCCTGGAAGAGGTAGCAGACCAGTGCAAGGAAATGTGCTCCTGACAGCTTACCTCCCAACAAGAATGTATCTATATGATATCTGGTCATCCAGACATGTAGGAGTATGTGTGGTCTAGCAGGCAATCTGCTCATCAGGAGATGCTCACTCTCTCTCGGTGATTTGAAAAAGCATTTTATTCTTTTCAAGGGCACAGTGGGTCTATCAGTGCACATGTTCTGTTACTGTATTTTAGATCTTTTCTCTTTCCCAGTTTTAGGCACAGCCAGCAGTACAGAGAACTGGAGTGGGGAGGCAGGGGCATGGCTAAAAAGGGATGCCTTTTATCACGTCTTTAGGACGCTGAATGATGCGGCAGTGTTAAGTACTACAGATTTGGCATATATTAAAATTACTTTTTTTTTTTTTAACTACCACTACTGAAATTTAAGTTTAGACAGAAGATAATGCCATTTGTATATCATCTTGCATGTTTGTAATGACAAAGTTATATTTTTCCTTCTAAACAAATCATGAATTATCATGGGCAAATCATTCAGCTCCACATTCATCAAGGCTATAATCATGGATACAGAAAATACCATGAAGGTACACGTTACTGTAATGTTAATTATGATCCTACAAAAGCATTGAACACTCACCTTTGCAGGTAGTGCATATCCTCCAGAAAAAAAGGGAGCCAACCACTAAATGGGCTGAATTCCCAGCTGAAACCTCACATGGGCCACAGTAACCAGAAACTGCTAATACCTGACCTCCATTCAAATGGCTTTGCTTCAGCAACACTATTTAATTTCAGAACTTCACTTCATCTCTTTATCCCTATGCTTTATCTAGCATTACAGTGACTCTTCATATCCTATATCATGGCTGAGTAATTTAATGGCAAGTAAATTCCTTACATTTCTCTTCCACAGCCTTCATCACTAATTGCTGACTGATACTTTCTAGACCTCACTGAGGAGATGTTTACATTTTTCCTTCAACACCATCACCAAGGAAAGGCAGTGAGATGGGCTATAGCTGCTGGAAAAGGCACTCCAGGTCTGTTCAAAACATGCTCTCAGGTCTGCCAAAGTGCTCCAGCTGGTATCTCCAAATAGTTAATGCACCTAATTCTGAATATAGTTGGAGTGCTTGTAGGCTATTCAGTGGCTAAAACCAGCTCTAGGGTGCACAGCTAAAACTGCACTGGTTTGTCTTTTAACTCTGTATTTCTCCTTTTCCTGAAGCCAAGGCTGAAAATATATTTTATTTTTGAATTTTCAGAAGTTTGCCGAAATTTATATTCGGTAAGAGAACAAGATTTATGTTACCTGGAGGTAACATATTCCCCCACCCACCCTCTCAAATACGAGAACTATATTCTGTAATATGAAACAAACATATGATTGTAAAAGTTATGCTTTGGGTAAATAATCAGTATAATCTCAGTATCAGCACTGCCCAAAAAACTGTCATATAATAGGCCTTAATAATTCTATTTATTATGATGCCAGTTAGAGTCATATAAAGAAAAGCCCAGTATAAATGCAGAACATGTACATTCTTACCTGTTATCAAATATAAATTACTCTATAGATTCCAGACCACAGAAATCACCTCAACTCAAGGCATTTATAAATATTTAATAAAATAAATAAATACAATGTTGATAAGAGCACCTACGGAAGAGCTAAGAGGAGGAAGAACTAACATTCCTCACTGCAACTTCCTTCCACTTGAACTAGAACTTGAACTATGCAGAATATGCATGGTGGCTAGGAGAGTGGCTTATAATTAGTTGGCACAATCCAGTGTACTTAATTATATGCTGACTATATAATTTAAAAATATTACCATATTGCTAATCACATAACATACACTGGAGAGACAAAAGGTGACTTTCCCACCAAATTCTGTGCTACAAATACCTACTACAATATTTAATTCCACAAGTAAGGAAATGTGGGCAGAAACTGCTGGTTACAGGTTAAGTTCACAACATCAAAATTTCAACAACTTCTCTGCTCAGGGAAAATTAATAATAGTGTATCCCATTGGAAGGTATTGGGTATCTTTAAAATAGTTAAGTGATTTGTTTTCTTTTAATTACTTCCTGCCAATATCCATAATTCTCTGTAAGTGTTCAAAACTAACTTAAAATCCAATATAAAATTGCTATTGTTTTTATACCATTAACAAAGAAAGATTAATGACATATTTCAGTAATCTAGTAATAACTGGCTTTTTTCATTGTTCGAGCTGTATGTAATCCTCAGTGGATCTTAGATGTAGTTTAAAAAGGTATTTAATGCCTGTTTTTCAGTTGCCAAGGTCAAACATCACCTAGCATGTACAGAGAAAGAGGAAACATCTGTTGGGATAATTTATTTGACTAACACAGAGAGTAGGATTAAAATTCACTAATTTCTTTGGTCTGATACTGAATTTCAATTAAACAATACAGGTATTTGTTCAGTTTGACAAAATTTCCTTGCTTTACATGTGGGCACATTTATGCATATCCCTAATTACTGGATCTGGCAAGGGAATACTGTGATTTGTCATTATTTCATATCTGCATATACTCTGAGAATGAATATTTCTGTATTTTGAGATATATTTTTCCCCCAAAAAACATTTTAAAGAATTCACAAACCTTTAAGTAATTCCCAAGACTCTTTGGTTTCCATGGAATTCCACTAGTAACAAGATTAGAATACGTCTCAAGATCAGTGGTTACACATGAAATTGTCATGTACAGCAACCTTCAGGTTCTAAGATAAAAGCTCTGCTTACAAGTTTTTTGAAAATATTAAATGTATGTCATCTGATTCTAACCTTAATGTCAATCAGAGTAAAATCTTCTAGACTAATTAAAAAAAAAAAAATCACTCAAATTGTTTAATTTGCAAATGTAAATTAATACAAATATAGATATTTTATTCAAATCCGGTATGAAAGAAGCAATCTTTGCCTTTCTAGGGTCAAAAGGGACAGGATTGTACTCCAGCTTCTTAATACTGGGAAAATTCTTGTCAAGCAAAGAAGCTCAACAATGCGACAGTTTTTAACATAGTAGAGTAGAATCAGAATGCTTTATTTCAAAGGTGGTAGCGGAATTTCTTACACTGAAGAAAATAAATTTCTGGGAGGTGCTGTACACATATGTTTCATCATTTATTAGAACTAAGGAGAATGGTAAATGAAGAGTGTAGTTTTATTCAGCCTGGCCCAAAAGACAGAATGCTAATAAAGATGAAATGCAAGCTGATAGAACACTGAGCATGTGGACAAACTCATTTTACAATGGAATTAAAAGAAAAAAATGCATGTTTGTATGGCATAAGTATTAGCCTGTACCCCTCTAAATTTCACAAGCCTGGATTACGCACTGGAAGATAACCATGTAGTAGTAGTATTTTGTGATAACTAGTGCATTGTTCCTGCAGTTCTTGTTTTTAAACTTCTCCACTGCTATGTGCCTTCTGCAGCAGGAAAAAAATTCAAGAATGGGCACATATATGACAAGTTCAGATTCTTTTTAGGCTGGAATATATCCATTGTCATATGAAGAACAAAGATGATAACTTTGGAAGAGAGCAGCTCTGTGATTTGTAATTCTTCTTCCCTTCTCAAGGGAAAGGCAGCGATTTTTAATCAGAACAAATAATCAGTAGGGACAAAACTAATGGAATGGAAAGTGGTAAGTTGTCAAGAATAAAATAGTATTAAATGTTGCTCTGTTAAATTTTGAAACACACTAATAAACTCTGATTTGAATGTAGAATAAAATGTTACATATAGTAATTTAGTTACAAAAGAATACCTATGTCAGTTGAATTTATTTATTCATTTTATCTACAGCATTGCATAAATTATGGGTTTTTTTGTTGGCCAGTACAGCTGATAAATAATAAAACAGTTAGGTTAAAAGTAGCGTTAAAAATCTGGAAGGAGTGGTATTAGGTCCCAAATACTGAACTAAATTATTACTACAGGTGAAAGTGGAAAAACTATAGGTCCCAAACTGCAAATCCCTATGACCAGATTTTATTTCCACAAACAGTTGCATTAGAGTTCACAAGGCTGCTTATGCGAGTAAGGAATATATATGCTAAACTCTGAATTGTTTAAATTCATCTAATGTCTAAATGTCTGTAAGGCACACACATCAGATTGTCCTTCTTGATTATCTTTATGGTCTTGAGCTGATGCTACAGGAAAATGCTAATCAGGTATATAACACACTGGAACATGTCTATCAGAAGTAAGCTGTAATGATGGAAAGTAATTGTTTCTCCTTCTGCATATTACTGTGTGCACAGGATCAACCTTCACCAACGTTGTTGACAGTAACTATACTTCCAAGAATTAACTTTGATATTATTTTACCTTTGTGGAAGATTACAATCAAATGCATATGACAGAAACTAGTAACACTGGAGTAAAGTTATTACTATTAGCTAGTCTACTGATTTATAACAACAAACTGAAATCTAACATGGTTAAAAAAAACTGAAACTGATTTCAGATTAAATTCTACCTTCATGTACTCATTTTCTAACTGATTCAGTAAGAGCTGTACAAGCAATAACCAACAGAACTAAGAGGAATATGTCTGAGGAACATACCCGAGTTTTCATCTGACTTATTTTTTTTCCAGGATTCTTGGCAGAGGTTTTCTTTGAACTGTGTGCATCTCAGACAAAACTAAAAAATTTGTTTTTTCTTTCACAGAGTGACTGTAGTGAAAGGGAAGAATAGGATAAGGTGTTTCAAAGTCAGCTGCAGAAAACAAAGAAAAAAGGATTAATTCAATATCCCAAGTCAAACCATATCTATTTTAATATTCAGTATGATTGATCACAGGTTCCAATATAACTTGTTAAAGAAAACAGTGTAATAAGCCTTAGGGTAAAATGCCTCAAATTTGATAATTGAGAATGGAGTACTTTGTATGAAATTATGGAAAGTGCTGCAAACACTGATGAAGGTGAATATTAAAGCAGGTATTCCCATTTAGGATAGAGTTATATGAAAGGGAGTAAATTCAATTACATAGCACCTCCTTATATCAGTAGTTATTCAGAAGACAGAATATTACTTTCAGAACCATTGCCATTCACATATGGCTTCCAAACACTGAGCAGACTGCAACTTTCTTGGGGCTGGGGTTGAGGCTGACAGGCTGAGTGCTTTTCACTTTATGTCTTCAAAAATAACTGATCTTCATGAGATTTCATGAATTAATAATTTGAGATAGTATGGCTATAAAGAACACGCTTTCTCCCCCAGTTTATCTTCTGAAAGCAACAGTGTAACTGCCACCTATTTTATTTTATAAATATGGTCATTCAAACCATTTTGAGTATTTGAAGTCAAATGTCTGTTTCCAAATCCTGCTGTTAAGTCATTTAAGTTTTAATCTGCAGTCAACTCTACAACTTTACAACAACCCCACCCCACCATTTTTTAAAAAACTCAAAGTTTATTTCAGGTTTTGCTTGAGTTTTGAAACGAATTTGTTTTCCTACTTCAAGAACATGTTGCCTTTTCTTTTAGGTTTAATGCTTTCTTTTCTCCAAGACTTTTTTTTACCTTTTCAAGTTTAAAACTTTTACTTCTGCTAGACATGTATCTTGTGTAGGCCTTTAAAAAGACTGGCAATTTACACAGATCAAATAAGTATCAACAAATAGATTTAAAAAGTCTGTTTTATTTCATGCATATTTATTCTAGAATGCCCAACACTTTTTCTTTTATTTTTTTTAATATAGAAAGTAATCATGAGTATTTAAAAACATTCAAAATGTACTAGCTACTCCTTTTGATAATTCTGGGAGATTGGGATGGGAGATAAAAAACACCATGTGAACTAGTGCTAAAATTAACTTTTATATTGGAAAAGTTCAATTTCTACTCCTGTGTTTTGGTCTCACCACCAGTACAAGTCTCATTCTCACTATATTTACTGTTAGCTGCTATTTTATTGTTTCTATAACATTGCAAATAAGCATGAAGTAATTGATTAGTTTGCTTACAAAAATGTAGATAGGCTGCATGTTCATTTGTCATTCTTTCTTTGGTTTTTTTCCTGGCAGCTTTGGAGGCTTTCCAATTCATTAGGAACTGTCTTTCCATGTCTTTAATTTCTTTCCCATCAAGGAATTCTGTCAAAGAGAAGAGAACATTTTTTGCAACACCTGAAGTTAACTAGAAGGCTGTACAAAGCTTTATGTAATGTGTTCTATATTTGCTCTCTTCCAACCTTTTTTGCTCTTCTTTGTCTTTTGGTAAGAAGATACCCTGAACAGCTTGATACTCATATTCAAGCTACAAGAGTGAGTTGACACATCTTAATTACAAAAGAAAGTATCTATTATTCTTATAACTTTCAAGGGAAATATATATATTTCACATTCGGTTAACATGCAACACCTTATAGAAATTTCTGAAAAAAAGCTATGATCTCACACAAGATATATATAGATGCAGAAATTCAGGTTAAGAGAGAGAAACTGCATGTCTTAGCAGTCAAGGAAACCCACTGATCATGAAGACAGACAGACAGATTTGGCTCTTTAAGGTTAACTTAACTCACTTAGGTGCCATAAAGCTTATGCTCCATGTTTCCTTGGTTGCATCTGCATTTTTGAGTAAGACCAAATGAAATACCTCATTTGGCCACAAACTTAGGTTGCATTAGAACTGTCCTAAGGCACTGTTATTTTCATTGTGCAGATAGGCTTTTTCTTAATGGCCAGTATTTTGTACACTCAGAAAAAAGAAAAACAATTTCTGTAATTACAACTTTTAAGATAATTGCCACCTTCATCCAAAAAAGTAAAAAATTAGCAGGTATTTTTTACTTGTTTCTACAGTATGGATACTTACATATAGAAGACTAAGTTGTTTTCTTTTGTGCTGAAATTATCTCAAAATAATAATGTAAACTGCATCATAGTAAGATTAACATTAACAAATACATTCATAACAGAAGTGTAAACTGCTTTTAAGGACAAATGTTATATAATAAATTCAAAGACAGTAAAGTATAAACTGTACAACTGTAACTGTACAACTAAAACACCTAAGCAACTACTACTGGCTGATAGGGGAGTAGAATAAACTTATCTTTGAAAATCAGTTTTACAACATTTGGAATATGAACACAAAAAAAGTCTTATTGTCTTACAACAATCTCACCAATCATCTATTATAAAATGAATGATGGCTACTACTAATAGCAAAAGCTAAGCAACACAGTTTGTGCAGTTGATTACATAAGCAGTTTTAGCTACATTACCTGTACATAAATTAAAAATTCATCATTTGACATAAATATCTATGGCAGTAATTGTGTTTACATACACAGTGCAATTTAAGAATGATTAATGTATTGATTATCTTCTAAAACAGTGAGGGTTATGGGTGGGGTTTGGGGCTGGCTATTGGTTTTATTTTTTACCTAAAGTTCGTGTCTGTACTACAATCCTGTCCCTGTACTTTGGTTTGTGGCAGATGGGGTTTCCTGTAAGATCCATTCTGCGTAGCTTTGTCCATTTGTTTAATACAACTTCCAAATCCTGCAATTGATACAAGAACAGAACATTGTGATTATTTTTCCCCCTCCAGAGTAAAATTCAATAATAATGCAATTTGTTCAGTGAGGCCCAAATCCTGTACGCAGAAATAACTTCAATGAGACTATTCATGTATTAATATGCACATTAAGAATGTGCATTTTCAAATAGAGTGGTGTGTCACATTCCCTGAATATATCATAATTGCACAGAATAAATGGTGATGCAGTTGGAAAACTGCATTTTTAAGGATACAGTAATGCCAGCTATGGAAAATTACCGCTACAATCCCACTTATAAGCACCTAAAGCTGAGGAGTTCCCAGCCAAAAAAATTGTATATGTAATAACTGTTAATGCATGCCCATGGTCTCACAGAACCCTTAGAGTATTGGTGCCCAATTAGATTTTGAAAAATTTGTGGAAGTATAAATACTTCACACAGAAAGAACAGACTAAAAAAAGCTAAAACTCGTGCAAAACACAGTAGACTGCCTCTCTCTTTATATATATGTAAAACTGTATTTTACCAGAGAAACAGTAATCACCCCCTACATAACTGTGGGTGGTCAGTTATAGTATTGGCCCAAACAGTGAAATTTTTGAAATATACCTTTCTCCATCTGAGTTTCTGTCTGGTTACCCAAGGGCAGTATGACCTAGATAAAACTTCTTCTGTCTTTTAAATACAATAAATTCAAGTTAAAAGGATGCAAAGCTTAGCAGATTGGTCCTTTCTACTCAGATACCTTACTTTCTGAAATACTTTATTTTCAAAATTTCACTTAACTGTCATTCTTGATAGGTTTCCTTATATGTGTGAAAAGCTTAAGAAGGGATTAAAAACAATCTGTATGAATACAAGAGGAGAGAGAACTTATGCTCTACAGTTGTAATAATTTGGAAAAAATCTACTAATCATGATGTGACAGATTCTAAACTGCAAAGTCTGTAGAATTTTGTAGCTTGATGCCAATAATGAAGTATCTAGCAATGCAGATATCTTTTAGCTCCTTCAAATTTAGAAAATCACCTGGGTAACACAAGCAGGGAGAATTCTGGTTTTGCAGGCTCTACTCCCTTGGTAGAAAATCCTCCTGGGAATACTCTATGGGTTATATAATACAAGCTTAGAAAAATCACATGGAAGAGGAAGTGGCAGCAGAGCCTCACGCCTCCAAACCATATAATTTTTCATCTATCTTCTATTGTTATCCAGTGATGATAACATCTTTTTAGAAAAATAGAGAGCAAAAGCCTGGTTCTGTGAGGAGCAAGACTGATAAAAAAATGCAAGAAACTCTGAGGACCAGTCCACATGAAGAAATGTTGATAAATCTCATAATGTTTCACAGCAAAGCTTTATCAGCATGTATCAGAATAGCAATATGATAACCCCCACAGTTCAGGTGCTAACACTTAATCACAAACACAACAATTTAGGGGAAAAATATTTTGGGCTAGGCTTATTAAAAAAGAAATAGCATGTAGCAAGTGTATGTATTTATTTATTCTTACCTGAGCATTCAGGCATTGTGACTGAAATCTGTAATGTAATTTCTAGATTTCACTAGAAAGAATTTTTTCAAGTAATAGTTTTGCAACACAAAATTGTCTATTACTGAAATAAAACGTATACAGTTTAACTTTGATGAATGTATACAAAGAGTCCTGTGGATTTTTGTTAGCTCTTACTTACTTGATAAATGACCCAGAACATGCTTACTCCAGTGTATGTTTATCTAAGAGCACACTAATCTTGTGCTGAAATATGATTACCCTTTCGATACGCTCTAGTTGTTCATTGCCTTCCTGTCTCTAATAAAGTGCTTTCACTTCCCAGCCTTTCAATAAGCTGTACTAAAGGGACCAGACACTCTTCTGGGCAGTCTCCATTTGATAAATGATCATGTCATGCTATCACTTTGAGGTCTGCTACAAAATACTGACGAGCAAATTATATTCCATCAGGGTGGGGGGAGAGGGGGAAGGGCAAGTGCCTTAGTAGGCAGCTGTAGTCCTGGCAATAACATTCTTACCAATTAACGATGGCCATTTAAGAATTGATATTTGACCAGTATGCTCCAGTTTTTATCGGAAACATCTAGTCCAACTGTCCTAACTACATATACAGACAGCAATTTGTCACCATTTTGATTACCTGTCATAATCTATTTGAGAAAATCTATAATTCTTCTCTTGTTTCTGACTCAATTCTGAAGCGAATGAATTCATCTTTTGTGATATCCTCTTGTCATAATCAATACTGGGCAGAGGTTGAATAAATTAAAGACTTAGGAAATACAGATTTTTATACGTATTTCTAGCTATATTTTCTCTATCTATCCAAATACTCGCACAAGTCATAATCTTCCCAAACCTAATGTAATTAATTAATAAATAATATTCTGGCTTTTTGTAAACAGGAATAGTTGTGGGGTTTTTTTTAAATAGGAATAGTGTTTTTAAAAAATTCCCTTAGTATTCCAACCTAAATACACTGCAGCCTAGAAGTCCCTGTGAACCTGACTAAAGTAAACCAGAAGCTCGATAGGATAAGTAAATGAAGAAGCAAGCAACAAAAAACCAAAGAAAAGCCAATTCTATTAAAATCAATTATATTCTTGATAACTGACCTAAGACATGCTTTTTACATATGGTAGCTAGTAATGGTAAGCTATTTTGCATGAACTGAGAAAAATGACTTAAATTTTGTTCTGTCTACTGTTCAGACTGCATTATATAAACTTCAGTCATGTGAAACAAGGTCATATGCCTTGATGTTTGTTAATTGTTAGCAATGCCCTGAATTAGCCAGTGCTTGAATTTACTAGCTGTAATTTTCAATTACACTGAAATCAACGTGGCATTGTTGAAAAGCAAGGGAGTATGGGTTTTCATAGTAATGTGAAAAAACGGAGATAAATGTTTAGATATAAAATAATTATACAAAAGTGAGAAAAGTCTACATGAGAAGATTGTATTTCATGCATTTCTTATGCCTTTCACATTTCCCTCTTTTGCAAAATTCCATATTATTCCTGCGACCATCTACCTCTGCTACATAGATCACTGCTGTTGACCAGCCCTGCTCAGACATGGACGGCTCCTCGACAGCTTCTCTTCCCACTGGGTGAAGCAGAGCTGTGTACAGAGCTCTCTGACACTTCTCTGTCACCGCCATGGTCTGTGATCAATGCCAGACATTGCTGGGGATGTTCTTGATGGCAGTGATGGGGAAGCAGGAATGGCAAAACAGGGGACAGACCTTCTGGCATGAAAAAGAGGTATGCATCTGAGTTTTGAAAACAGAGAGGCAAGAGGGAGGAGAATGGAGGCAACTTGTGTGGGAATGAAAGAGCCTTTGCTGCGTGTAACAAGTTCAGCCAGCAGAACCAGTTAAGTATATGTAGTACAATTGTATACCCCCTAAAATCCTTTCACCTATCACAGTTGTAGAATAATGTAAGCCATGGAATCATGAAATTCAGGGCTGCAAAAAAATTGAAACATACTCAAAACTTCCCTCAGCTATTTTTTTTTTTTACAGTTAGTGGATATGTAAGATTGTTCTCCTGCTAGATGTTAGCTGTAAGATAAACCCTCTTAAATAGAGCTAAAACTGACTTTTTTTTTAATATACTTTGCATGGCCTACTGCTTTTTCAACAGTTTGGGATTTTTTATTATTTAAATAAGAATTTATATTAGTGATAAGTAAAGCCTACTAAAATGTAATCTCTAAAACACAGTAATTGTAGCTGGAAAGTTGGATATCCAGCTGCATTACAGTATATGTTAGACACATTCGATACGGTCATTAATTTTACAGGTCTGCAAAGATATGAATAGAAATACCCTATCTGCTCCATATTTTCAAAACTTGGAGATTGTTTAGAAAACACACAGGACAGTCACTTTCAAAACTTACTAGAGCTTGATCCAAGTGTAACTGACAGCAGCAGCAGCTAACTCAAATGCTAACCACATGATTTTTCAAAAGCTGTGACCATGTAACATGGAAATCTAGATGTCTAATTGATTTGGGTAAATATTAACTCTGGTCTTCCTGATGATGAAATAATGAAATTTAATAGTGATTAAATAATATATACACAGTTACTGAATAATGCACTCTTTTTGTCCTCTCCTTATTCTCTTTCAGAAGATACTATGTTTTCCTCTGAGACAGTAAAAAATGATGTCTCTGAACTGGCATCCTCATTCTTAAAAATAACTGGCTCTTTGGCTAAGACAATCTTCTTTTAAGATCATCGCAACTGAAGTTTTTTGTATTTACAAGAAAGAAAAAAGACAATTTAAAAAAATCACTGTAATATGTTCTATTTAGAAAATGAATCCTTTTCAAAAGGGAATCTTTGGAGAGACTACCTATTTAAAAAAGCTTACTGTTATTTTAATGTAGCCAACACATTCAATATGGTTTTAATTACCCAGCAAAGGCCTACATGAGTTGTATTTTGATATGAATTCAATCAAAACTGCTGGCCAGAAACACAGCTTGAAATACAATACATTAATAATCCTCTAGTAAAAAAGAAATGCATCATTCAACATTTTTTAATATTAAAATGTAAAAAATTAAGAGTTCAAATAAAGTATACAAATAAAGTATATTGACCACCTAGATAATTGACAGATTATGCACACAAAATACAGCAATCTCCTCATTAGTAAACAGAACTGCCTAATTTAATGTAAAAGATATTAAGTGTTCTAAAAAGTAATAAGAATAGTTATTTTAATAATTACTAACAAATGAAAGTTAACTTTTCTAAGGAAATAGAATGTATATGAAAACCAGTAATGAAACAGTTTTTTAATCAAGGCTTTGTCTTGGTGATTTGGGCCATGATTTAAGCCAATTCATTTTAGTATTTATTAATAAAAATATAAATTTAAAAAAACCCAGAACACTAATGCCTATGGTTTATATTAAATTAAAACAGTGTCTATTAAGTCATTTATAAAGTTTGTTCCATGCCTCCACCATGCAATTATGGTGTCAGCATACTGTTCAACATAAATTTGATACTCAGTTACTAGCATGACATTAAAATTATTTTTTTAACTGTTCTTTATGTCAAGAAGTAGAAGACATCGTAACTTATAAAATAATGAGAAGTGTTAAGGCCAATACTCCTGTTCCTTTTTGAGAAGATAAGCTGGAAGTTTTTAGTCTAGAACATTCTGTTTGAACTACATTCACTACTGCAAATGGAGGAGCAAAAATACTTTCATGTGTTTTAGCGGCTACTGTGAAAGTTAGAGCTCTTGCTTATGAAGACATATCTTTCCTTAGCAGAAATTTATGAAAGAAATTAAATGTATTCTTTCATGACAAATACTTCTTATGCTACTCCAGAAACAATAGCCAAAAAGTCATTTTGATATTAGAAGGGCTGCAAAATCAGCTAGATGATCTGATATCTAAGAAGTGGCTTTTATGTATGTTAAAATAGAGAATTAAAAACTAATATGGTAAAATATTGCACGTTAGTTAACAAATAATGGCCACATCATCTTTGCAAATTAAGCCACTGATAGTCATTCAGATGGCACCAAAACATACACACTAACTACATTTTGGCTATAATATAATTATAGTTATAACTTCCATGCATTTACTACTCAGTTGATAGATAGATGCATGCACAATTGCCACTTCATGTAGGATTAAAGGACATTCGGACATCCTAGATAAACAGTTCTCCATTTTTAATCTCAACAAGATTTTTGGATGAGAAAAGACAGCATGCTTGGAAAGTCAGAGGTTCAGTAAATGTAGAAGTAAACTCTATTTTTACTCATCTATTTAGTGATAAAGATGAATTTGACTAATTTCTTATCACCCATACTAAGTAGAACAAATATTTATTTTAATACCTTCATATGTTGAAGTTGATTGTCAGCTGCTCTAAGATATGAAAGATTTTCCAAAACTGCCAGTTCTTCTAATTCATCAACGTTGTTATTGCTGATATTCAACACAGACAAAGATTTCTGGAGGAAGAAAATCAAAAAAAGAAAATTATTTTCTTCATGCCATGCCATGAGTCAAGTTGTAAATTCTTACAGAAAATTCTCTTTAAGGAAGAACAAGCATATGAAGCAGAAACATGCAAATACAACTACCACATACCACGTTGTTTTATGTTGGCTTTCCATCTTGTCCTAAAATGCTGCTTATTCTGGTTTTGAAGTCAAACCAAAGTAAGATTATTTCTCAGTTATTTCAGGAACTCTTAGTAAATGCAGAATTTTTGTTTTTTCCCTAAGCATGTTCAAATGCTTTACAGAGTTCTGCAAATGCTACTAACTCTACATTTGAAGTATGAAACAGACGCAGACTGCCTTTTCCAAGGTTACATCTGAACTGCACAGAGCTGAAATCCATATCTGATACACACGTAGTCCCATTTAACAGCTAGGCTATGTTTTTTTTCTTTCAGGCTTGATCCTACAAACCTCTCTGTATACATACCTCTATTCCTTGCCCTTTCTTTGGAACACTAGTGAGTCACTTAATGCACTTTGCCTTTTGTAACAGACAATAGTTAGAGAGATCTTTACATTCTAGATAAAAAGTAAATGGTTTTCAGGTGTTTATCTCAGGAAATACTTAATGTAGTTTCATATAAAAGGAACAAGAAGCTTATATCTCTAGAAGATGAAAAAGGACACTTAATCCAGTGAGTTTAGAATTATACCAGATATGGGACTTCCATTAGTTAGAAAATGTGTATTTCAGCAGTGTATACAGGAAATGTACCCCCCTTCTAAAATCTGACCAAGATCTACATTGTAGGCAGAAATTACCAGTATCATCCTGATACACACAGTGCATAAACTTACTCTCCTCAGTCAAAAGATTCATGATATTGTCATCATCAAAACATCTGCTTGTGGTACACAGAGAACTATATGGTCGCATGTTTTTGGCTCTTTCATCTCTCATGGCATTAAGAGCCAGAAACAGATAAAAGAAGATTAAGTAAGAAGTGATGTCTTAAAGAGGGACCAAACACTTTGCACTCGAAGGATAAAAATAGGATGTTTTTACATGTAGCTTCCACAAAGATGTTACATGGTCAAGAATGCAAAGTGTTTCTTACAAAACCAAACCAAACCCACACCAAAAGACCTTAAATAAAAGCCACAAAGAACAAAATGCTAGTGACTCTAGGCCAGGATGCTGAAAAATACTGAAGTATATGAGTTATCATCCTGGGAAGATTATAGCTATATAAACTCCTTCTGCTTTCGTCATTTCTCCAATATAGAAGGAACAAAGTAAAAGTGCTTTCACAAGAATGGCTCATTTCTATTAACGGAAAATGGCCATACATGTCTTAGATTATGTAATCTCAAAACAGAAAGAATTAGAGCTAGGTCAAATGTTTATGATATACATGTGAACAAAAGAACTCACTTTGCAGCAAGTTCTTAATCTTCACAAAAAAAGCTCGTCAAGCCCTGACTACACTTTGGGAGATAGAGCAAGATGAGGTTTTTGTATAGAACTACATCCATTAGTAAATAAAGTCTTTTTTTTTAACCACTTCAACAATACATTTGGTGTTTACTGAGCAATTAACATGTTGAAAGAAAACTTCAAAAGCTGACTTTCCTGAAATCTTGACCACAACATAGAAAAATTGCAGACCTAAAACTGAATGCTTTTGATTGTGTTGCTTTTAATATCCAGAAAAAAAAAGCTGCTGTACCTTTTTTTTGGCCATTGCATTCTCTAGAGAAATACAAAAGGCATTAAATAAACTAATTTAACAATCAAGTCAGAGAAATACCAACAAACTAATTCACTACAAACTAAGCAGACTAAGATAACTAACAGTGATAAATTCCTACCCCTTTTTTACTTTATTCACATTTTGTTGGTATAGGGCATCCACATATTTCCTTACTTCCTCTCTCTCTTTATTCTCATTTCCATCTTTCATAGAAAAATAAATGAAGAAGTCATTCTTCTGCACTCCTTGCTTATGTGAGAACTGGGATGGGAGTCCCTTGGTAGAATTTGAAAAAATGCCACCAATTGGCAGAAAAGGAAAACACAGTGATCAAGTCCTAATCACTTATTTTAAAAATACTGATCTAGTGATTAATGGCTCATTGAAATTCTCAGAATGTACTTACTGCCAGTGACCTAAGAGATCTTGGATCAAAGAGAAGCTTTTCACCAAGAGGGAGATGTTGATTTTCAATATGTAACTCCCTTATTTGTTCTATTTTATCCAAACCCTCTACTACAGTGATGCAGTTGCCCCCCAGATACCTGCAGAATAGAACACAGAATAGATTTAATATACTTTGAAAGTAAAAGCAAACACTAGGCCTCAATATATTAAAAAAAAATATTTTTTTTAAGCATTGTTGACTAATACCTGGAAATTATAATAGAAAAAGTAAATAACCTAGCACGTGAGTAGAGCATACAGCTAACAGATCCAAGGTTTTTTTAGCGGTTTTATATATTGCTACTATTCTTATCATTATTAATTATTATTATTAAATGGCTGAAAAAATAATTAAAATACAAATAAATATGTTAAGATGGTATGTCATTACTTATATCATAGAACACTTAATCAAAAAAATAATAAGCAATTACTTTTATTTGAAAAGCATATTTTAAGAGCTGAAAGGACCTTAAGGGCTACATCATTTTTTAATTTCTTAGTGTAATAATTATTCTTTCACTAGTAAAATAAATACATTATTTTCAACTTACAGTTTTTCAAGGTTTTTCAGCGATGAGAGATTTTCTATACATGAAATACAATTGTTCTGAAGGTAAAGATGCGTTATATTTGAAGCAAAGTCCAAGTTCCGGATTTGACTGATTTGGTTATCATATAAATATAGCACTCGAAGATTTTTACACAAAGAGAGGTCACCCTGAAATGAAAAATAACAAATTAATGCTGCATAGGGTTCACTCACTGCCTGCTTCTGGAAGCTGTTGATTGTTTTTACATTTAAGCTCTGCTGCATGATTTATATATTTTCACCTTTAATAAACACTTTTAACAACTATTTTTCTTAGAAAAACTGAGTTAGTGTCAGTAATCATCAGATTTAAGACTGAAATCTGTCATTAATATTCTGCTGTACAGAAGCTGAGGACTACGCCCATCATCAGCAGGTACTTCACATCCTGTGTGACTTCATTGCCTTACCCACCTTTATCAGGTGGATTTCAGAAAAGCACAACTGTTAGTGTAGTTGTCTCCATCAAACCTCCGTGGTGTAATGGAAACCAGTTCTTGGCAAAGGAATACTGATTTATATAAAAACTAGCACTTCAGTGTATTTTAATACACTTTGAGTCCTAAGATTCCACCCAAATGTCAAGTTTCTTTGAATGTATTCCTCTTAAATAACTAAAAGGTCACATGTTCTTATGAGGGTTTTTGTAAAACTTCTCTATGGCGTCTGATGAACCAGTCCCAATCAAATGGACTGATCAAATTAGTACCTTGCTATGACTGTGCACATTCCTAGGAGTGGGCTGAATAAACCCATTTGCTTGGATGAATCTGTTCACATAAACTATTTAATCTTCTTGTCTGAAATCACACTTTTAAAGCAGAAATCCACCATACACAACAATTCAGTTGTTCAGGGTTCAGCAATTTCAAAATGTGCTCAGTATGTTGAGGGGATTTGAATTAACTCAGGACTACTGAAACCTGTATAAATTTCCTATTATTAAACTCAAAGAAGGGAGGACTGGGTTAAGTTTTCAGGTTTAGTCTTTGAAAATGAAAAGGTCATGGATTATTTTTTAAATGAACAAGCCCCTGGGAGCAATTTAAAAAAAACCCATAGATTTTAACCTGACTAATTTGAAAAAGCCACTACACCAGTCCAAATTTGTTAACCTCACTTGGCTTATATCCTGTTCCTGAACTCCCCTTTCCTTTCTCAGACTTCCTCTGAAATCTAAGGAATAAATCACAGATAGATTGAAAAGATTGTGCTGCAAGTTAACAACTCTTTGTAAAATTCCCAAGACTAGAAAAAATATAGCATTAACGAGAATAAAATAAGTGTTACACTTAATAGTATGCAATATCATTACTACTTCCCTTAAAAAAAAAAAATCTGATCTGCAAAATTACTAGTTCCTTACATCATCTTCTATTCCACGGTTCACATTTTTAGAAAGGTAACCATCAGTAAATACAAGTCCTTAAATAAAAAACCAAACTGTTGCTGAAAATATGAACTTTGGTTTTTAACCTCAGACCTAAAGTCTCCAAGAATACTATAGCTAGATTTCAGTAGGGCTAGAGCGCTGTTGTCAAAAGTCCTACACTTACTGATTCAATGGCAACGGCCTGGCTATATTCTATAGGAAAAGTGTCAGGTCTAAATGATTAATTTGAAATATCCTCTTTCTCAAGTGGCTGAAGAGGTAAGCAAGTGGAGTTATCACTTCCATTCTGGTAGCTTCCTGAAAGCTCCTTTACAATGTAGCAACTGTACGAAATAATAAAAATAGCAAATTGTTTTGGTTTTTTTTTTTAGAGCTGCAGATTTCTATAATAGTTCTGTGAAATACTGCAAAAAGTACTTCACTTTAACACTTCAGTTCATCTCTCATGTAATTGCTTACATGGATTTTCTATTTTAATTAATTAATGGCAAAGATATTTAGTGTACTGATAACACCCTTCTTGTCTGCTACACATGATATATATTTACAGTTTCAGGTAAGTAAAATACTTCAACAAGATTTTTGCCACATAAAGAAAAAAGTGTCAGGTCAGTAATAAGAAACCCTGCAGACTGTTGGAGTTACAGTCACCTGCTTTGATGTTTTATATGAAAAGTTACAGCTGAAAGATTATTTTCACATTTCAAATGCCATGCATTTAAAATCCATTTAAACACTTCTACATACAAGCAGTGTTCCACACAATAACAGCAGTGAATGCTGAAGTATGTTTTCAAACATGTATTATTAAGGCTTAACTGCAAGTCAATATAAATGTTAAAACATAATATAGCTGTTATAAAATAGAAAATTGGCTTTGCTTGTTTGTCTTCCCAACTATAAACAACTCATCATAACAGTAACTACAAAACATTTGAATAGCCAGGTTAAATGAAATAAAGAAAAATAAATCTTACTATTGCATCTATATTTTTATCTGATAAATTCAGATGAGTTATTTTTCGCAGATACTGTCCAAAGTCCTCTTCATTGCGATTCTTGTGATTGACACTTTTAGCAATTAGATCCATTGTTAGTTGAACCATAATTCTGTCATAGGCCAAACCGCTCTATTGCTTCTTTTAATAGTGTATTGCATGTGCTCTTGTAAGTAGTTTTATAAAATGCCTTAAAAACAAAAAGAAAAATGTTATACTACTTGTACCCCAGGTCTTCAACAAAGCTTACATGTGTACTTCAAATGTGATGTTTCCCCACCAGTTCCACTTTTGCTTACAGTGACACATTTATGTATGGCCTTTGCTGCTTATAAAAACTACCCCTTTCTTGCTGTCATTTTTTCAAACTGTTAGCGTATTAAATAACATTTAAAATAGACTTATATTTGATTTGTTGTTTCAGTGTGCTTAAGAAGGTTGTACCCTAGTCTTCATCTTTTTCATACAGAAATATGAGCACAATGGTCCACAGCAGAAGTAATTCTCACACCTAAATAACTAATTAATGGCAGCTCATAACCTGATTATTAGATAGAAAATACATCACACTCTATAGCAGGCTTTACAGGCTGTGAGAAGTGGTATAAAGCTACAGTACTCTTTATACATCTGCACAGCCCTTTTGTCATGCACACAACTGCATGTGCATTTGTTATGCACAGTGAAAAACTGAGTTTTTCGCACTGAGGCATACTGTAAAGTCTCTCACAACAATACTGACTTCCTTTTTTTAAACTATAGCCATTGTTCCAAGTGTAGTTATGAATCAGGGAATGGGGTGAAGGGAAGAAGGCAAGACACATTTCAGACTGGATGTGTAAATGGTCTGGGGATAAAAATACCCTAACGAATATAACTTAACAACTCAGAATAAAAAGGTTGCTTTTTTAGCCAGTACATAATACATTATGTATTTTAGCCAACACATAATACGCCCACATCAGTGTATCAAAACAACTGAGGAGACTGCAAAAAGCATCCCAATCCTAAAACTCATGCAGACACATAAACCAAGGCACGGAGAATCCTCCTTGCCAGTATCACATTCATGAGAAACTGAGGAAAAGCAAAGACCGAAACTGTGAAGACAAAAGAAACTTCCTTATGTATAAGCAAGGCTGAAGCTCAGTAGTTCCCCCTTATCCATGTGGGGCTCCTAAGGCCGCGTGATTTCACACCGTCGTCCCCGTCCCCCCCAGCAGAAAGCTTGGACGACGACAGGGACCAACGGCCACCCAGCACACCCCGTGGGAAGGCTGCTTTGATGTCCCTGCCCCCAAGCCAAGAGGGACAGGTAGGGGGCAGGATCCGCTCCCAACGTCCATCCCAGAAGGGAACCAGCCCACGGCCTACCCCGACCCCGCTCTCCCTCTCACCTGCCGGCGGCGGCAGCAGGACGGCGGGCAGGGAGGAGGCGCGAGCGCCCGCCACCGCCCCTGGTTGCCGCGGCAACCGCACGCCAACAGCCCAGGAGGCAGAGCGCTCCCGCCGCCGGCTGAGGCGCGCGCCCTCCCCACCCAATCGGCCTCGAGGACAGAGCGCGGGCCCGGGTGGGGTGGGGCGGGGAAGGCGGGGGCTGCGCCTGCGCAGCCGCGGGCCGCGCGCGGCCGGGCGTGGGGGGAGCAGAGGCGGGGGGGGGGGGGCTTCCGCGGCATCCGGTCACTGGCTCTGGGCGGCGGCCTGAGGCGACCTGTGGGCCTCGCTGGTGGCCACGGCTCCCCGGATAGACCCGTTCTGTGCCCGCGAGGGTGAGCTGGGGTGGGTGGTGGGTGTTGCTTTTTAGCCTGCGGTCATGGGCCTAGCTACGCCTCCGAGGAAAAAGAGTGTTGCTAAGCCACAGGTCAGGGCCACCAGAGGCAGCGGGCACACACTGAAACACAGGAGGTTCCCTCTGAAGGTCAGGAGATGCGTTTTCCCTGTGAGGGTGACCGAGTGCAGGCACAGGTTGCCTGGGGAGGCTGCGGAGTCTCCATCCCTGGAGATACTCAAAAGCCATCTGGACATGGTCCTGGGCAACCAGCTCTAGGTGGCCCTGTGTGAGTGGGTACGTTGGACCAGATGACCCACAGAGGTCCCTTCCCACCTCAACCATTCTGTGTTTCTATCAATCAGGCATATGAATAACTCACTGAAGTCAATATAACTACGTGTTGTGTGCTTGCTGTGTTGGAATATAAAAAGTGCATCATCTGGTCAGTAACAAAATATATCACTTCTAATGAAAACAAGATTAGGACTTTATTTCTCTTATAGGAAAAATGACACAAAATGTTGTTATGAGCAAGTGTGTTCCACTTTCACCTTTGTTAGAAATGCAGACGAGGTATAAAGAGGCCCATCCTTCCAACTTCGAATTTCCTATATCCTCTCTGAGGATACAAAAGATCATAAGATGTCCTTATTTCTGTGGTGGAATCTAAACTGAGCATGCCCTGGAGCTGCTTGTTCTGGGAAATGTTTCTGTAAAAAAAGTCTGTTAATATTCTGAAAGTTAATTTTGGACTTAGTTTGTTCTCCCTCATGGCTGTAGATTTTGCAGGTGTCTAGGGCTGTCTGTTAGTAGTTTGATTTAAAGGCAGAAAAAGCTATGAGAAGTTTCAGAGAGAGTATTTATTCATTAAGATTTGAAATAGGATTCTCATCTGGTGGCACAGGGTATTAAACAATCATCTGTGTACTCTTCAGGATGGCAGTAATTTGGCCGAGTACAAAAAGTTCTTGTCTTCAAAAAAGCTTTTGGAAATACCTGTGTAAAATCATTGATGGCTATATTTCTTACAGTTCCAGATTGGAACACTGAACTGAAATTTACTTCTAAGGACATAAAACACCTTACGAGCCTCCCTTGCATAAGCACTACCATGCATTTTACGTAGTGCAATTTGTGCGTATAGGGGTTCTCTATATGGGTGTGTCATATAATAAGCAAGACATCTATCCTTGAAGATACTCACACTTCTATTTGTAAAACATTAAATTCAGCCTAACAATTTCTGACAGACTTTTTCAGGGTCAGGTTTCAAATTTCTTATTCGGTCAAACTTTTCCTGAGCATGTCTTGCCTTCCTCTATTGTGGCTAGACAGCTATATAACATGGAATCAACACAGTGGCTTCAGTGTAGTGTTTTAATATGTAAAATATGTATGAAGCAACTTTTTCCACTGAATTTAAATTTGTTTTGGTTTTTATGTTTTCAAAGGTAGCAAATACAAGGTTCTCAAAAACATAGAGCAGAGCAAATAGTGCTCTAATTTCAGTGAACTTGCAGAGAGCTGTACTGAAATGTGTGTGTTTGAAAAATAAAGCTATAATCCGTTATGTCTGACGTTGTCCATCTGGTTTCTTAAGGACATGGTGCTTACCTGTTCTTGCTGTCTCTGCCTGTACGTACTGCCTAGTAACTTTTAAATGCATCAAGCCAACTCTGTCTGAAACTGGCAAAGAGCAGAGGTATAGGAAGATAATAAATTCTACCGTTTACAAAAATCATCAACTGGTTAGAAAAAGATTCCTAGCCTAGCGTCTTCATTTGAGGGAGGGGCTGAAGTGTAACCTGAATAGTTACCTGCTCATCTGGCAGGTGGGCACTAGCCTAACTCTGTCGGAAATCCAACAGCCTTCCTTCAGTCGCGGCCTGGAAGGCAGAAGGGAGAGCGGGAGCAGTGTGGAGGGCCTGTTACAGACGTGGGGATGGGAACGCCAGCTAGGACCCACTAACCTTTTAGTTACAGTCAACAGGGAATAAGATGTCTCCTGCAGGAGACAGGGCATCGTTATTTTTGCTGCTCATGAATAATAATTCTGGTAAATATGTGAGTTTCCTCAATTTTGTCCACATGTCAAACTTACTCTGAAATAGGTGTGTGGCAGCATAACTCTACATGTATATATTTCTATCCTGGAAGTGGTTTAGGAGAGACAGGTACCTGGAATAATTATTTATGTAAAGCCCTAACCTTGCATGCAGTGCTTCAAGTTCTTGGACTTGTTCTGTTGCATGACAACTACTTGACAACACCTCTTGATTTCCTGATATTATTTGAGCAGGATCTCATGCATGCATGAGTTACAGATTACGCATTCAAAGCTAAGCTACTTTTTCTTCCCTGTGCTGGAGAAGCACTGGACTGGAGTACCGTGCCTGCAGTGCCACCTCCTCCTCACCAACCATGCACATTTCATGTCTCACACTACTGCTGTTTCACGGGTTATACCTTATCACTTCTTCTGTGGTTGGATTAACACTTTTGCTCATAATGACTGCTGATACCAACAGAACTGTGCAAGCCTAAGCAAAACTGGAGCTAAGACACAAAACCACTAATATGATTAAAATGAGAAAGATAACAGGCTGGCTGTTACAAAAGTTCCAAAAATTATTTCTGCAAATACAACTAAAATCAAGTTGAAATATGTCCAATACCAGACAAAGCCTGAAGCCCAATATGGATAGTTATTATTATAAAAATGTAAGGTCTCTTATTAGCACAAAACTGTTATTGTCATTAATATTATTGGCAGATGCCAAAAAGTGAAATAGCCTTTCTGCATCTCCCAGCATTAAAATCTTTTAAAGCCTGGAAGTAAAAGTGAAGTTATTAGAAAACTATCTGTTTGTTACAAAAAACATTATATCTTTATAGTGTTTGTAATGTTTTTTTATGAGCATTTTTTCTTACCTCCAGCAGAGACTACAATGTTGATTGGCAAATGCAAGATTCTGTCTCCAAAGATGAGTGATAAGAAAGAATTCAAAATGCACTTTTACAATTTCCACCATAGAGAAAATATCAGCTTTCCAAATATTGGAATGAAGTTTGACAGATGAACCAAGAAGAGAAAGTAAAAATTATTGTATGCTGCAATTCTTCAGAAACAGCCAGAAGATGTACTGGTATCTCAGCGTTATTTTGTCAAACACTGTATAGACAGTAAATAGGAGTATTCACACAGTCATTCTTCTTTGCTCTTAAATAGATGTAAGATGTTATTTACATGTTATTTGTCCCTCACTGGTGTTTTACATAAATATTTGTGTTAAATCATTTTTGCCACTTTGAGAATTTTACCTAGTTGTCCTAAGAAGAATTTTTAAAGTGGAAAAGGAATATGTTCCACAAAAACTTT